GAAGTTGCTGATGACTAATGTTATCCTTCCCTTTCACAATAAAACCTTCCTGAGACCAATATCTCTTATAATAATAACCTAAAAACCACTTTCCAATCTTTCATACCCATATTTTCGAATTTTTCTCCAACTTTCTTAATATTCTTTTTCTTCTTTCATTCTTTTCATAAGATTTTCCATTCCTAAAGATCCAAACTAAATGTTCTTCTTCTTCAAATCTCTTCTTACTAATTCTCTTAATTTGATTTTCACTCTTATACTATTTTTATTGATCTTTTCAAATTTTTCTTTACTCTTTAATGTTCCTGTCAATTGATTATGTAAATATATGATTTGAAATTTAATGAAATGAAAATTACGGATCAACTTTGATACCCTTGATGACTAATAACTTCAATAATAATTTTGCCTTTGACCAAAAACACAAATTTTCACATAATTTTTAAATTTTTTGCTTAAGTAGAGATCTTGCTCACCACATCGGTTCAGACAATTTGGAATTCCAGCTGTTGCCCTTAAGGTTGGTTTAACCTTTATCAAGTTTTTGGAGTTTGATTCTATCCCTATGAGTTCATCCAAATTGGATCTAAAGAAAGCTTTTGGAAAGTTTGTTTCATTTCCTTTTCATTTTTGTTAGTTAGACTCTCTCGGAGACTCTCTTGGTCTATTTTTTTATAGTATGTTGATATCTCTTCTGAATGGTTATAATTCTAATCTCATTTTACTTCTAGTACTTTTGTTGAGAAAGCATGGTTGCGGGTTTTCAGTTGTGAATTGAAATTTTCTTCCAAAATCAAAAGCCAAGACACATTTGGAATCGGAATCAATCTCTGTGATAAATAATTAAGAGATAAGTGATTTGGTTTAGTCTTAGATTAAATAAATGTAAATTCGTAAAACCCCCCCTTCAAGCAAAAAGTCAGCATTTATGCCTCCCCTTAGGGTTAGAGCATAACTGCTGAGTTTTTGTTTGAAAGCCGGAGCTTACAAACTAACATCCATTTCCAAATGACACCCCTACTGTTTCAGCCACCGCTGATCATAAAGAAAACTTCCCAGTTGGCCGTTGAGGGGCGTGAGGATTCAATTTTCCAGCATTATACGCCTCTATTTATCCCCAACTCTCACCTCTGCCCTTCAAGTCTTTCAAAGCCTATCCCCTATACCTTTGGCTGCATTTGGTTGCCTTACATTATCTTTTTGACCATCACTTCCATTTTTGACTCTCTATTCTTCTCTATTTACCAATTTTGGTTTCCGTTTCATTTGTTATTTTCTATCTCCATCATTCATCAAAACCCTCAACATTTTTCTTCTCTACGCTAAAACTTCAACATTTCCTATATAGGTTCATTCCACCCAGTTCTTTATGCCAATCATGCAAAAGTCATGTACGTTACCTTCCTTCTTAGTAATTGTACAACTTTTTGATTCCACTTCCGTCATCGTTCTTACATGATACTAACTCGGGTTCTTTCTTTCATTTATGGTACACAAATATTGTTCTGGCAATTTCCAGAAGGTTTTTTCCAGAACTCCAGAACCCTTCGGGAAGCGTTCTGGCGTTCTGGAAAAAACACAAATACACACATAAACTTTCTGCTGCAGCCGTTCATTCCCCACATGCATCACCTAACAAACATGGATCAAGTGATCAGCAACGACTACCTCAAGCCAACCCAAGAAGATCAAGTTATCACGCCGTTCACTTTACAAATTCACCCATCTGCGCTTCAGGCCTTTTAATCGACCTTCAATTTGAACTTCAGATCACCAAACTTCTATACGGAACCCATTCCAGGTATCGAGAAATTTTTATTGGCTTGAGATGGGTCATTCACCGTGAATCAATTAATACTCAGAGGCAAAGCTTTCACTGCAATCCAATCGATACATAGAGGCCGTTTTATTCTTATGATTTTCATCCACTTTCTCCCGGTTTTCAAGCACAAAAATCGATCGATACAGGTATCATCAAATTGAGATTCTTTCTTAAGTCTCAATTTGTACTCTTTGTACTTTGTTAGGTTAGACAGCTATATAGAAGGGAAACTAGAAAGAAAACACAAAAGCTTGAAAACTAGTGAAACAGCGACACTAAGATGAAAGATAAAATGATTATTGTTCCCAAGCCCATTTCAAACACTTTGAGTCGCAATAGATTGAGTGAAAAAAGCATCTTGCCGCGTAGTATCTTGCCCGGATTCATGAACATCAGTTGTTTGTGCGATGGGTTTGGTGCAAAGAGGCCTTAAATGTCCTGTTGATTGAAACAGGCGTTCAGAGTTCTTCAATCGCTTTGAACTTTCAACTCGGCAGGCCAATCTTCCCCATCTGCCTTTGAGAAAGTATGTAATATTATACATACGTGAATCTTTCAAGTTGAGGTTGGGTTTTTTTGAGCCATAATCGAGAAGTGAGAATGGAAGTGCTGAGATGGGAGAGGGATGAGATTTGGTGTCCTAGGGGATGAGGGGAGTGCCAGCGGAGTAGGTGGTGGTTTGGTTCATGGTGTAGTCGGGCTTCTGGAATTCTGGAGTGTGGGGCATTCAAAGTTGCAGAACACCAGAACGCCAGAACACACCAAACAAAAAAACTTCTGGCGTTCTGGAAAAAGCGTTCTGGAAATTTCCAGAACAATATTTGTGTACCACAATTGACACTCTCCACTGTTGATCCCTCAACCCTCTCCATGCGCTCCGCATCACTTCCTCTCATTCCACTTCCCATTACGTCTAAATCTACATACTGCACCTCATTAATGAACTATCCGTTCCACATATGGTATCTTATCAACACCTCATCGTTTGAACTCGCTTGCCGGTTCATTACATCCAATTACCTAATTCTCACATCCAATGCAATCCAACACAATTCTAATCTCCGCTCACCGCTCTACTTTCCCTTTGCGACGACTTAAAGTGACCTCTTCAATATACCCTGCAACTATTGTTTGAGTCATCATTTACTCAACCTCTCTCACATATCCATCCTAAGCTCCGAAACACAATTATAATGCTATATCGCATCACCATAAATCCGTCTCTCTCAATGTAATTTCATAATTTTGCTCAATACACAGGTTCCCTGCACGCTCCCCTCGCCTCATTCTTTTCTATACCCACTAAACCTAACTCTGCCAGTGCCCCATCACCCTACCCTTATCCATCCACTTTCAATCATTTCCTAAGTCTCCTGGGATCTGTCTCACTACTTCGCAGGAATATGATATATTCCACATCCCGACTCACTACAATAGTCAGAACACTTGTTGTTTTCTCTCTTCATGCTCTTTCCTACAAAATATCTATAAAAGAAGTAAGTGTCACAAATCCACATCCAATCTTTATTTTGCTTATCATCACTCCGGCTGGAAAAGTCAATACTACCCAACAGGAATCCATGTACAAAGATCTAGAGTAGGAAATCATTTTGAGGTTGACGGTTGTTGCTACATTACTTTTGATTTTTGTTCAAGTGAATTTTACAGGACCAATTTTTGATTCACTGCCAGCATTAAAGAGGTTCCCAGATGGGAATATGGGTCGTGGGGATCAGACCGCCATTGTACTATATGTAGTCACAAAGGCTGTTTGATTCCTACGACCCATATTCCCATCTGGGAACCTCTTTAATGCTGGCAGTGATTTAGAACCTTCAAAAACATTTGATGAAGAAACAAATAAAACGGATTTAAATCAGATTAGTTTGGATCAATTATTCTTAGCTGGTGAACCTGCTTATCATCTAACTACATTGGCCACTCTTCTTTCTTGGGCGATCAAATCACATACTTAAAACTCTATCAATCATTGAACATTCAAAAACACTTAGGACATTAGCATCGTGGAATTCAAGAGCCAGTATCTTACACCACAAACTAATTGAATCTCAAATCCCATTCACGGATGAATTGTTTACAAGACTTGGTGGATCTTCAATCAATTTCAAAACAAATTATCCACAGACCCATAATGCTCAAGATCTACTTCCAATGTTAACTATGGAAGGAGGATTAGCTGAACATTTGATCAGAAATGATACATTTTCAAATCAATTATTCCTTCATGCTTCGGAAGAAGCAGGTTTGGTGTGTAAGTGACTTCTTATCTCTACTTGATCCTTCCGTTTGCAAATTTTGACTTTATGCTTGATTCACTCTAGATGATCTTACAGACATCCTCGGTAAAAAGACCAGCTTTCAAGAGCATGATTTGAGTCGACTTGTCCTGCTTGCTAAAGGTCAAACCCTGACATCTTTTCTCAACACTCAAGCTGAGCCATCTGATTCTCCTTTGTCAACAAAACAAAGTGTGTCACTTATCACTCTGGCTCTTAATGATGATACATTGTCAGAAAAAACTCAATTGACATCTGCAACTTCATCTATGTCATCACTTACCATCAATCCACAAAACCAACCTGAACTTCATCCTTTATACCAATCCATATCACTCGCCACTTCGCTTTCAATTGAGAACGTTTCCTTGACACGATCTCACCAAAGCTCAAAACGCTCCTTCTATCAAAACCGTACTCGAAAATCTACCCAACTGGTCTGTCCATGGTTTGGCTCCCTCAGTTTGAAGTAGACTAGACGCGCACGGATCACAAACTGTTGGACAAGGTTTGTTCAAAATGAAATTGACCATCATACCATTCATATAATCCTTGAAACAAACACTCACACCAGCAATTGATGGTTTGTTTTCCAATTGAATTGATTCATCACCTTGAATTGAATCGATTCATCACCTTGAATTGAATCGATTCATCACCTTGGACAACAGATGATCCAATCATTATGTCTGATCATCAAATCAAAAAGAATTCATCAATACCTTTGATTTTGATGAACCAATCTGATTTATTTTTGAGGACTTGGAATGATTTGATGAAGAATGAGAACGCACTTGGGGTACCAATTTATTGGAAAAGAAGTCAGATCCGGCGTCATTTCTTAGTCACACTTGGGATTCCTGTTGATCTAAATCATGTATGATGATGATTTCTTTATCTGAACAATCATATAATAGATTTTATAAAAGATGATGTACTTATCAATTGATCTCTTTTTTTCTTTGCAATAGTTCTTACCACCTGCAGATATTCCAATATACCACACCCACACCTAAACCAATCACAAGTCCGACCGCAACCATCACATTAGACCGAAAAAGATGTGATGAATTATTATCATTAAACAATGGTGAGATCTGATCAACTTCTTTTTGATCAACTTTTTCTGATATTTCTACATACTTTCAAAACCAACCAACTCCCCTAACCTGTAACCTTATCAAAGGGTAGATCCCTAACGTGAATCTTTAAACTCCTCCCTTCTCCCTAAAAACAAGGACGTGCCAACAGATAAGTTGAATTCCACAGTGGCAGGCTAAGGTTGTCTTGCGCGGGTTTTCAGTGAGAAGAGTGGTAATGAGGATGAGGAGAGATGAATTTTTACTTAATAGACATTCGGAAAGTCTTAAACAGAGCTAAAATGATGCAAATTAATTATACCAGAGGGATCTCCAACACATTGTTGGCCTTTTGGAACTCTTTACTGCTTATGTGATGTAACTATATTCTCATTAGACCAACTGTTGAGGAATACCCCCTGTGGTCTCTTTTCCTCAAGTTATTGAGCAATGAAGTTGAGCATCATTGGGCATCACCTGGAAAAAGCTCAGCAGACTGTATTTAGATAAGCTCTTCCGACTAAAGAAAATAAAATTGTCAGGGCTTGATATGGAAGTCATACCCCAGTTCTAAACTTGGTTGGGTTTGAATCAAGAGTGAAAATTCTATATACATACCCATTTCCCCCCCTCAAAAAAAGGAAAAACTAACTGCATTTGTGGTTTTTTGGAGACTTAGATAACTGTCAGAGGATTTTCAGGATGGTTCAAGTATGAACTTCAAAATTTTGTAAGAACTGATCAAAATAATGTGTGAGCATCCTGTTGAAGTTCAGTTCAGATTTGCAAAAATGAGACTTTGATATTCACATGATTTCAGCTTGCCATCATGAAGATATGTTTAACAATCAAGTAAAGAAGAGAGCCTCACCTGTAATGTTTTTAAAAGATTAGGTGTAAGATGTCTTGAAATGAGCACATTCAAACAATGTTTGGGTCTCAAAAGGTCCCTCCAAATCTACATGTATTTTCTACACAACACCCAAACTCAGTCATCAGTTATATCTTGAGATCGGGATTTTCTGATGAGGTCCATTGCTGTTGAAAATGGATGACATCCTAATTCCTCCTCTATTTATATTCAAGCCTTTCCCCTGCATTATCTAACTATTGGCATGTAGTTTTCTGAAATCCACATATCTCTGTTGGACTCTTAATTCTTTGCTGTTTCTGGTAATATATGATTTGGCCCAGTACTTTGGCCTAATCTATTGCTAGATATTAAGGGCGGGCGTGCCCGCCTAAGGTCTAGTGATATGTATCATGGACTTGGTGAAATTGATGATTTATTTGACAATGATGATTGATAAGATAAAACAGAAGGTTGCGGTGATAATGGAACAGTCAAAGTTGATGGTACTGGGAGAGATGGGAATTGGTTGTGGGCTGTTGTGGGTGGTTGGACAACAGATCTGGTCAATAGATTCGTGGGATAAGAGTCATGGGTTGTATTAGGGGTGAAGCAGCTGGGTAATAAAACAAATAATTAAGGGTTTAAACCGGTTTTGCGCAAAATTTGAATAGTTTTGGGTGAACCAGGTTTGCTCTTGACTTGTATGATTGAACCTTCAATGGTCAATCCTCCTTTAGCCAACTGTTTTTTCTAATTTTGCTTTGTATTGATGAATTGATGTGATGCGAAGGAACTAACAGAGAGAAATTAGACATTATAGTATTTAAAGCTCAACAAGAGCTTTACAACACCTAAGAAGGGATAATCTACTACGTGTAATATAGTAGAAGTTGCCTAAAGACTGCCTTCTTCAAAGAAACCAGCACAAGGGCACTTGCTGACCACTTTGTGATAACAGAGAAAAAGACAAAGGCACCAGAGAAATAAAGCAATACTGTTGTGTAGTATTATTCCCAGTTTTAAGCGCAAAAAAGTCCACACACTATGTTTATTACTAGAAATACTGTTGTTAAGTATTATTCCCAATTGACTTATAGTTTTTAACACACATAAATAAATTTCTCCTTGCTTTGAAGGGGCGGATTTAAGTGATCTTAGTACAAATATAGTAAATAAATGATGATTTATAACACTACAACAAAGGTATAAGATGATTCAAAGTGGGACAAAGGTCTTACAAAAGTACTACAGTCTTTATAGTCTTTCTACAATCTTCAATTACAGTCAAAAATTGCCAAAAACAGTCAAAAACCTCTCAATTACATCATTTGATCCTATTCTTACTAATGTATGATGTCATTTACGCAGCAGAAATCCTGTGAATTGGGTTGTTAAAATGCTCTATAGATCTTCTTATGATCATTACAAGTTGCTGTGTTGATGTATTTAGGCTAAAAACCAGATTTTGACATTTTGAATTTTTTCCATAGGCAAAATTTCGATGATTACATAAGTGATTCAGATTCCTCACGTCTTTTTGATGAATAATCACTATAACATGACCTACTTTCCGTGCGTGAGTGATGAGTAATTGATGTGTAAAGATTTTTTAAGAAAAGTTTTGATGTGTAATGTAATGTGTAATCAAATCCTTTAATGTCTTGTAACTTTTGCTACAAACCTCCGTTACTAATGGTTTAAGATTTGTACATTATGTAATCAATGAGCTATTTACCAGCTTAATCCGACGTCATGTGACATATGTAATAAGCTGAAAACCTTCATTTTTGACGAAATTCACCCATTTCCTTCACTTTTCACAGCTACTACTCTCTTTTTCTTGCTCATGTAATATGACATCATCTTCTATAACATTAAAAATCCCGGAAAATCCTCTTGGAAACCTTAATTCCCACTACCACCACCATTACATATGTAAACTACACACATAACCCTTGTTTACCAACTTCGAAAAAGTACCTTTCTGCTAATAACTTCTGTTTTCTCTTATCAACCTTGAAGATTAAAATTGTTACTGTATAAAACAATGCTCCTCTTTCGTATTATAACCCTAATAAACCCATAAACCTAATAATACTACCTGAAAAACCATTTCTCAACCTGTATACCTATATTTTCGAGTTTTCTTATGTTTTTTTTTCTTTCTTTCTTTTTGTAATCTGTTTGTTAATAGTCTATACTTATCTTATTAAGTTTGTTTCAATGATAAAATGACGTAAATATTAAACTATATGTAATATAATTGATGTAATGCAAAATTTGATTTTTTTTAATTTTTTTGATTGGTCTCACAGATTAATTACCACAACGTACAATGATTAAATGATAGATTCAACTCGTAATTCACTTGATAATGAAATTGGACTCAACACATTATCTCCTGATCCATTATCCACCAAAGATAATTCTTGTAAACTTTTAGATAAAAGTGGTAAACTTTTACTAATTGATTGATTTGAAACAGAGTGTCTGATTCTTCCTCCTGCTCCTGGTACATCATTATTAGGTTCATTTGAAGAAAATGATTGTTATGTTTTGTTTCTTCTTGACTATGAATTTCAGCTCAAGTTAGATTTTGACCAACAGATGAGTCACAAAAAGACTGGTGGGGTTTTGGAAGCTGAAACAGGGTTGAGGTATTGTATAAATTACCTTGAAGATATCAAAGTTTAGCTTTGAGACGGAACCAAAAAGGTTGATCAAATTTCCGTTTGGGGACTTTGAGTGCATCACCATCATCTCTGAGAGAAGAATGAAGAGCTCTTAGCTTTACACTTTTGCCTTCATTTAGAAGGAAGGAGCAAGCACTTACTTGGGAAAGTATGATTGCCGGAAGGCCAATCCGCATAGCTTGGAAAAGCTTTGCGTGTATTCTGCCTAAGGTGTCTTCATCAAATCAGTCCAAGTGAATAAATCAAACAGGAAGTCAAGAAGATTTCTTCATTTTTAGCTTTGAGTCTTTTTGAATCATAAGAGTCAAAAGAAATGACCTACGGATGACTACAATTATAATCGCTACTGTGATATCAATTGTGTCATCTTTGTTTCTTACTGCTCAACTTATTCCACCCGACGCCAATGAGATAAACTATTTCAGGAGATGAAGGGATAGCAATTACAGAATAATGATGGTGAAGTCGTGTTGGCAAGAGCAAAAGATAGCTCATGTTGAGCGGGGAATCTATGAAGTGACCGAGCTGATGCCTCTTTCAAGAAATTATTCTGCTTTTCCAGTTGGATGATCTTGAGGGTCAAAGTTTGATCAGAATTGTCGGCATTGCCGTTCTCAATGCGTTCTACAAGGAACAACGTGGCAACTTTGACTACGCACAATGGAATATCAAACACATACCCTGGATCGCTTTCAGGGCGCTCAGCTCAACCTTCAACCTTTCATGAGCTCTTCGTATGTCCAAGAAGAGACTGTGTTAATTTTTGTGAAGTTGATCCAAATAAATCACATTGAACAGTTTAGGTAGTGGTACAGTTGAGATTGAAAATTTTGTTGAAAGTCGCGTGACTAAAGCTGGTAACCAAAGTCCAAACGCTATAAAAGAGTGGCCATTGGAGTCATGTAAGGTCGGAATTATTCAACGGCTAAATAACACTTTGCACATTGATTCCGAGTTGTTATTGCTTCCTTCTGGCCTGTCGTGTCCTCGTGATGTAGTATGTATTGATTCTTTGGATGTTTAACTTCTTATTGATTTGTTTATCAAGTGAAAATCCGATGGAGTTTGAAAATTTTAAGATGAACCAGTCAAAGCAATAAGCAAATGAATGTAATTATTGCAAGGGCAAAACTTTGGCTGAGTGAAACTTGGATTTGCTCAGCTAAAAATTGGGTAATTTGTGAATTTTGTTCCAATTTGTTGATTTTGTCTGAATTGCTGGTTCGCCTTTAACTTGAATGATGATAGGATTTAAAAGCTTGATGATGATGACTCTAGCCAGTTAGGTGATATAAAAGTAAATAAGATGAAGATTAATAACTTGAGATGACTAAAGCTTTTGGGAGGCTGGGATTGATTGCAATACAATCGGAATTGAAGCAAGATCAAAG